GGAGCACCCACAGGGACACTCATCTCGAAGAACGTCAGTTACTGCACAGGGTGAGTAACCTCCTCTTCTAATTGTAATCTCTGGGAAAACATTTTACTGTAGGATATTCCCCCAGACAGGGGCAAGGTATTTTTATCTTACTATCACATTCAGTCACTGAGTTGGTTAAGCATAAATGTTTGCAGGGGAAAGAAGTGCTTAATTAAAAGTGCAGTTTTGGAATTCTTCAGAACTTAGTTTAGTTCTGTTTTGGAGGTAATTATACAATGTACCATGGTCTTTGTGTTTTATACTTACAGAAATTTGGTCAGCCTATTCAGGAAAGGTTCATGGAACATGAAGAGAGACCAAAAGCTTTAAATGACCTGGGAAAGAAGGTCCAGCTTCTAATGAAAGCAGTAGAAGCATTCAAAAATAAGGTACAAATTAATACAGTTGGGGAATGGGTGTTATCTAGGCGAGTAAAACCTTTTTAAAAAAACTAAGGGCTTGTCTACACTTAATGCTGCAGTGGCATAGCTACACTGTTGTAGTGCTTCACGGAAGACCCCATCTATGCCAACAGGATGGCATCTCCACTTAGCCTAGGTTGTCCACCTCCCTGAAAGGCAGTAGTTATTGACTGCAGAAGCCCATTGACATAGCGTTGTCTACAACGGGAGTTAGGTTGGTATAACTGTAACACTCAGAGTTGTGAATTTTCCACATGCCTGAGAAACAGTTACATTGACATAAGTTGCTAGCATAGACCAACCCTAAGTCTAGAAATAAAGTTTTCAAAGGCACTTACAGTATATACTCGATCATAAGCCGGTTCATTTATAAGCCGACCCCCTCAAGATGGATAAGTAAAAACGGAAAATTTTTATGACCTGTTCATAAGCCAAACCTATAATTTGGGGGTCAGCAAACTTTAGCTCTCAGGCTATCAGAATAAGCCGCTGGTGGGCCGAGATGGTTTGTCTACCTCTAGCGTCCACAGGCATGGTGGTAAACCTAAGTAAACAAAGTGTCCCGGTGCACCAGCTGCTTACCCTGAGGGGCTGGGACAGCAACGGGTGAGGAAATTTTGGGGGGGGAGAAGCTGGGGGTGAGGGGAGTAACCTCTGTGACCAGACCCCACCCTTAGCCTGGGACCCCCCCCTACTCTCCCCTTCCCACCTTATCTGGGGAGGGTCAGAGGAGGCTCTGGCCTGGCTGGTGCCCAGGCAGCTCGGCCACAGCCTGCTCTGGGGGGCAGGGCCAAGCGGCTGCAGCCTGCCAGCCCTGGGGCTGCAGCTGCTTCAGAGGCTGGGGGGAGAGCAGTGTGGCCAGAAGTGGAGAGACTCTGGCCCCACCTCTTCCCTTCTGGTTCTGCTGGCTCCCCTTGCTCCCTCTGTTGGGGGGAGGGTCTGTGTCCGTTCATAAGCCGACCCCCTTCTCTGGTGCTTCCCTTTTTTACTAAAAAAATTCAGCTTATGAACGAGTATATACGGGAGGTGCTTTTAGAAATACTATCCTAGAGCTTGAGGAAAAGGGGTTTCTTTGCATCAGTCAAATGAAATAATTCAAGATTTCAGTCTTGTACTTTAAGTGTAATTTTAGTTGGTGGGGATTGCCAAAGTGCATATGTTAAAATAAACTACTTATGGAAACTGATGTGATCTATTGAACCATATTGGGCATCAAAGAACAGCTAATTGTAAATTTACAGAAATGTAAAATACAAATTTGTGTTTTCTCTAGAGTGCTGTCTATAAGAGTAACTTGAAGCACTTAAATAGGAACAAAGATGAAACCTCCCTGTAAGGATTTTTTTGAGAGCCAAAGCTTTTCTTCCCTCTAAACTTTAATTCATGCATGGATTTATCATAGAAATTGTTGTCGTGCAATCCTGTAGACACCTTTTACCAGAGTGAGCCCCATAAATTAATTGTGGTGTTTTAAAACAAAATACTTCTCTTCTTAGGATGAAAAATATGATCATCTTGATCCTGCTGAGGTGGAGAAAGTTGAAAAGTGTATCAGTGAAGCCATGAATTGGTTGAACACCAAAATGAATGCCCAGAATAAACTATGTCTGACTCAGGATCCAGTTGTGAAGGTGGCAGAAATACTAGCAAAATCTAAGGTAATGAAGCATAATTGTACCTATGACATCCTAATATAAGGGAAGAAATTGATAAATATTTATGGAAGTCACATGAATCTCAGGAGACTGGAGAGCAAAATGGGGTAGCGGAGATTAGGGGTGGTCCTGTACTTTTGCTAATAGGCTTTCTCCTAGTCTTGACCTAGAATAGTAAGTCTACAGGGATTTTTCACCAGAGACATGAATGGGAGGGGTGGTATCTTTATTTAGTGTCTGAATCAATCCTACTCTTAGTGATATGGGATTAAATATTTCTCAGTGACCCTATTTACTTTATACATTAAGTACTTGGTATTTTACTGCATCAAGCTTTATAGGAAATTGCCAACTATTCCAACTGAAACAATTTCAAAGCTTTTCAGCGAAGTAGAATTAGACAAAGAACATCCATCATGCAAGCTTTTCACACTTTAAACTCTAAAATAAAATCATAGATTCTGTGGAAAATCTGAAATGAAAGCCTCTCAGTTCTGTTGTCCTAGATGTACTAAGGAATACATTTGAGAAGTTACAGTTTAAGTTTTTAAATGCTTGTTTCACCTCTAAATGAACATACTATTTTTTCAATTCTAATATAATTAGGAATTGGATAGTTTCTGTAACCCTGTTATTTACAAGCCTAAGCCAAGGATGGAGCCCCCAAGTGAAGCTCAAACAAAAGCCAATGGTGAACACAACGGACCAGTGAATGGACAGAGTGGTGCTGAAACAAAACCAGATCCAGCAAAGGACAATTCTCAGCAGACCAAACCATCTGGAGAAATGGAAGTGGACTAAATTTTACATATTTCTTTCACTTAATTAAAATAGTGCAAGTAACTACAGGGTCCATTCTTCTTTTATGTCTGGTACCACTACAGCTGTTCAGTTATTCTTAGCCAACTTTCTGTCCTTTGTTCTTTGCAGTAGTTTTGAATGTGTTTTATATTGAGTACCCTCCAATGTTCATTTCCATTGATCCTGCTTATGTGGAGCTTTAGCCGAATGTAGATTGTAAAAGTCAGTTTAAGCTTTCCCAATATATTTTATATCAAACATACAGAATTGATATATAAATAGCAACAATCTACCTTATTTAAAGCTTTTATTGTGGATAAACCTCAGTTCCTTTAATCAGAAAAGGACACTGTATTGCACTACTGATGCTGAAGTGTAGATTTAATTGCATCTTTATTTTGGAAAAATATTGGAATTGAAGTGGTGTAAATATTGCCACTTGAAGCACTGACCTTTTTTCTAGTTATTGTACTGTTATTTAAATATTAAAATAGAGGCTAGCTAGTATACTAGTTCATCTTGTTGATGAGAACTGTAAGGTCTTTATATTTTTTCATATAAAACATACAAGCTTAGAAGAGAGAATTTTCTTAATTTGAGAATTAAGAACAAACAATTATAAAATACTGGTAAATTGGCTTTGTCATTTGTTCAAAATAATATTCTTGGTTGGCCTCTTCATACACTTGCACCAAATGTACCTGTGCTCATGGTAGACTGATACTAGAGTTACAGTAGTACATAGAATTTGCAAGGACTAACTTTATCTTACACTTTCAAAAGAAACATTGATTTTTTTTTTAATTTGCACTTGTTACATCTGGTTTTATTGGCTAGATTTCCCATCAGTTAAAACCAATACATGTTTGAGAAAACAGCACATCTTTGTACACCATTACAGGAGAAATAGCTTAAAAAAACCCCCCCAAAACCCTAATATTGTTTCATAAACTGGCTTTTAGCATATTTAATTCTAAGGTGTGGATTTAAATCCTTTACATTACTGAAAATCTGAAATGAAAGCAGAAGGGACTATTTACACTATAATTGGCAAATGATCCTTATGATGAGGGATGTTAATATGTTAAACAGGCAGTAAGTACACAAATTATGTGTGGGGAGCTGAATCATTCCTGCCAAATGCAAGCTGTTGCAGAAGTGTTGAGAAACCAAGGTTTATTTCAAATCTATATTTGAGTTAAACCTAGATCATATGTACATTTTACATTATAAAATCTCCAACTGATATTGGACAAGGCTGTAGATTTTTTACTATAATTAAAAAATGGCATCACTATCAAAACACTCATAATGAAGACTACTTACAATGGGCAATCATATGATTTGCTTTCACACATTGTCTTGTCGAGCTAACAGGCTAGTGGGGAAAAATTCTAATCTTAAACTGTTTCCTAGGTTAGTGTAAAAAAAGTGTAATTTGAAACAGGAGTAATATGTTTTGAATCAGTCTTTGGTGAATCCTTTCCTTAAATTTTCTTAAGAAATTCTGACATCGTTAGATAGTCACTGGCATATGCAGTAGTGTTGTACAGAGTTGGCACTCAAGGAAGTGCAGGTGGTGTAGCACTTTCTAGAAAAACTATGACAAAATCCCTACTAGGGACTGAGATGAGACCATAAAATGTTATCAGCTTGTAATCAAGCCTAGCTCCAAATAGTACATTAAACCATTTTGCCACCTCGTCCCATTGTTTTTTATCACACATTCCAAAAGTAAGTTGTTTGGTGTCTTTATTCTGTTGTAAGCTTGTTACTGCTGTGGATTGACTCTAAGCAAAGATGTAAACAAATGTCAGGCTTTTTCAGCTCTTAGTGCAAGTGCTTACATTCCATCAGTATATTAATGAAGACTGTACCCTAGACTGTGTAATATGACTGCAGTTCTTTCAGAGGAAAGATGTCTTTTGTAGGATTTGATAGTTTATATGGTCTTGACAAACTATAGAACAGAAGATAGTATTTATCTTCAACCTAAAAACAAGATCAATTACATAAATATGTACTGCCATATAAATCACAGCAATAATAAAAATGTTGATGTAATACAAAAGGCTGACACTAACTAGTTAGCCTTTTGTTTTTAGAGACATGTAGTTTTCTGCATTAAAGATATTAGTGGTGACCAAAAACAATCTGGGATCCTGAATCATGGTCACTTTTGCCATTTTTCTCTTTAAGACTTCATAAATTCAGACCTTTAATTGCAAAATCTTTTTCTCTCCCTCCCCCGATGAAAAAAATAGACCTTATTTAAAATTTTAGCTATCCTTATGAAATAGGATTTAAAGTAGTTTTTCCACACTTTCTAATGTTCAGAGTTGTTTTTTCCCCCCTATAGCTACAGTACAGCCTGTTCTTAAGTTAACAAATGTATGACTACATAGTTCAGTCTTGCATCCCACTAGTATCTGGCATGGCCTAGTATTCCAAACTGCTCGTAAGCAGGTATTCATAAAACATACACTCAGATGTAACCCAGTAATGTCACAATCAGCTACAATATGTTAACTTTTGAATATAATGAAATTAACTTGGAGGTATCTGTTAGGAGAGGCTTTGAGACACAGTAGCAAAATAGATGCTGTAGAAATATTTGCATTGTTTCCAAGTTGGTTTTAAAAGTTTTTAAAGCATAAAAGAAAGAGGCACTTAATATATTAAGTATAAATGTAAGGATAATAAATATTTGAAGGGTTGTGCAAAATTATCTAGAGTATTCCAAACACTTGTTTGTTTACTTGTGCTCTCCCTCAGTCTTTTCTAGGCTTATCCTTATTTTCTGCAAACCATTACCATCATATTATCCAAAAGCCTGTCAACTTCTAGATTTATTCCATGAGTAGTAATTGGGTTACCAGGAGTTAAAGCTTCCCCTTCTGACAGTCTTGGGTTAAAACCTGTAGTCCAACTTTGAAAGCTTCAAAAAAGTGTACTGATATTAAGAGGCCCTGGTCTGATATTCTAGCAGGAAATCTTACCCGAGCACAAATTTTGAAAGGTCTTCTTTGAGATTCATAGAATAACTGCTAGTAATAAAAAAGCCACAGTTTTTCAGAATCACGTGTATATATTGGCACACTTGTCAACCCTGAGAAGAACAAAGGTATCATCTTAGGCAATGTGACACACCATTAGAATGATACACGTGTTTGGGTACACAGTACTAGCAGTAGTGTATTAGAATGTCCTGGCCTTATGTTTATGCAATGAAAGAAGGAGATGGTTAGAACTTAAATGCTGGCATCTTAACCTTGATATTTTAGTAGTCCACACACATCTGAGCTGTTTTAGAAGACCCCTTAAGTTTTTTTCCTGCAAGGAAAGAGGCAGATGCAGCAGTGCCTCTAAGAATGGCATGGACTTTCTAGATGCAGTGGGAGTCTGTTTTATGGGTATGGAAATAGATGTATTAAAAAAGTGAGCAGAGAGAGGTTTTCAAGAACCATCTTGATTAAAGTTTATTAGCTTAATTCCATTCAGTAGCTTAAAATAGTGAAAAATAAAACTTTACATACTGGTAACTAGAACTACAGAGTGAACATGGTGGAAGGCAGAATGTGTGGCTCTTCAGTGGGTTGATCAAAGAAATCAAGAGCTTTGGTTTACAGTTTATTGTGGAGTCATGAAAACAGCTAATTGACTGATCAAAATTTTGTGTATTGTACTGGCTTTCTTAATCTAATCTAGATTTGCATCAGTTTTTGAAATGCACTAGCAAGAAACTCTGCTTCATAATCAAACCTGTCCATTGGTTCAGTATGCAGGAATCTTATTATAAACGGACTGAAAAAAACACATTTTAGAATTTGTTTCCCTACTTCTGATTAAACACAAACTGATTCTACTGCCCTCTTCCTTTGTCTGTTGTTGACTCTCTTGGTCATTTTAGTCTGGCACCAAGGCAAGTTGCTAAATAGGATTAAAGAGGCCTTCCTTTCTTTTTCCCATCTCCATGAATTCTCTAATTGATAGTTAAAGCATTGTGCTTCTGTATATACCTGAAATTTACAGCAGGAAACGTAAGGGTGCTGTAGCATACTACAGCTGTGGCAACACTTTACACCTCCTTTGAAGTACCATGTCTGTCTGAAGGTAATTTAGGTCACCATTACACAGCCTACAAGGGTGAAGCTGAGATGCATCATCACTGAGACAGAACTCAACAGCACATGGGTGCCTGTTACAACTTACATATGCAGTGAGGGGTGGTTTGATACTTAAGAGTGAAAGGAAGTTGCTAGCCTAGCCATCAACCTGTGGCTTTAGCGGTTACTTTTTCAAACCATGGTCCAGTGGTTTCCCCTATAGTCAATTTATTTAATATAGGCTGAAAAAGTTAAACACCTCCCTCTATTTCTTCCTCCTAATCGAGCTGCTCCTTTCTGTTTAGAGCACTTAATATCCGAGTATTTGACTCTAAACAAGACTCAAATATTGCATATTTTCTCTGTCATCCTCTTCTCCCCCTCCCCCAAATTGTTGAATGGAAATCACTGAGCATGGTCATTTTATCCTGAGTTGAACTAACTGCATGGTCTTACCCAACCCCCACTCCTGCTGTTCCATCAGAAAAAAACACCCCTTTTGATGTTCACAACATTCTTTCCTGTCACCCTGGCTTTACAGACCTTGCAATTTGTACCCTACCCCAATGTCTTCACAGATCAACCTTGAACTGTAAATGTCTAAAATAGGTTGGGGTTGTGGGAGCAAGTCTGTTGATCTGCTTCAGAGAAGGCAGCAGATCTTACAGGACATAGTTCTAATTTCATTCCCAGCAGCCAGGATAGCTATGATCTCTGTCCTTCAGCAGGGCTTCTAGCTCCAAAAACCACCACTGATTAATTTATTATTCAATTAGATTTCCATCTTGGAGGAAATTAAGCATAACTTTTCTCACTTATACCGGCTTTGCTTTGCATTGTGTGTTACGTATCTGACACCTTCCTGAATATGTACCTTTTCCCTTCAATGTTAAGGTATCCTACCTTGCCTAGGTTTAGGCTTTAATTTCCATTTCCTATTTCAGAGTCGTAGACCCCTATTCATAATTATCTTTACTTTTTACCTCTTCCCCTCCTCCCCATTTAACAAATGGATTCAGTCAAATGATGGTAAGAGAATTCCCTGCTTGAAAGGCACTGGATTAACAGCCCTTTAAACTGAAGTTCCTGTTTAGTTACAGGCAGTGATAGTGCCTGGCAAGTTTCCTTACACTATTCTACTGCTTAATAGCCCTTAACCGAGAGAGAAATCTTGCTACTTGTATTTTTAGTATCTTTTTCTTAGTACATTAAACTTTCTAAAGAGCTATGCATCAAAATGGTGGTCCTGAAAATAGAAAACTTGTTACAGAATATGGGAATAAAAAATCCTGTTACCAGAGGGGTAAAATGTGGACTATTCCAGACTTTTCAGTTAAAGGTTATTTTTCATGATACTTTTTCATTTGTGAACACAAGACAGCTTGAGTGTAAATATAAACCTTATATGCTTTAGAAGAATAGTAAAGTAAATGAGTAGATAGTAAAGAATGTTGAATGTTTTGCAGTAAATACTTTAGGAAGAATTCCAGGGATCTGGTCAACAATGTCCAACAATTACATAAATGAGTAAAATAACTAGCATAATTACTTTATAGTTGCATGTGATTGTTAATCTGAAATACACTGCCTCATGAATATTTTCTACTTGCTTAAGTTTTGTTGCTACACTACGATTGACCTGATATAACCATTTAAAAAAAAAAAAAACACTGCTTTTTTTGGGTGTCTCAAACATCTACCATTGCATTGCAGAAACCACTGCAATGTTATGATTTGAAGAATGTCTTTTAAATTGAAAATGAAGTCTGAACTAAATACAACCAGCCACCCATATTAAAAGTGCTGAAAAGTTGTAGTTAACTGTGGTTCATGACAAGTTAATAGTCATTGGATGTTGCATATTTGTCATTTTTGTTTATGTATTCTAAACATATCTTCAGAAGGCAGGGGGAATGTGTGAAACTTGAATAGACTTACAGCAGTGTTAAAGTATGGAAAATGTTTACTATGTATGTAAATTACATCTTTATATTAGTGATTGATCATGTGCAAATTGACAAATACTTCAATTTATTTTTGAATGGCAACTCAGATTGTTGAGGTTGTGTATAATTTATAATAAATATATATAAACCTGCTACTTGAACATAATCAAGCCCCCCCGAGACTTTTTTTTAAAATAGTGAACCTTTCTGCCATTCCCTTGCATAATGGGAGTAGCTATTCCCAGGCTTAATGCTGATTAGAAACATTAAAGGATTCAGTTTAACAGTGTTTATAATACAAAGTCAAAAAAGATGTAGTGAAACAAAATAGGGTATTTCAGATTTTGTGCAGTTGAAAGTTTAAAACAGTAACCCTTACGTTGGCTACATTCTGATGGGAGTTTTCAAATGTACTGAAAAAAATGCAAGCCATTTTGAGGAGCTAACCTGTACAGCAGAATAATTAAGATACTGTATTTAGACTAAAGTGACTCTCAATCCATCTATTTTCTACTACAGGGGTCAGCAACCTTTCAGAAGTGGTGTGCAGAGTCTTCATTTATTCACTCTAATTTAAGGTTTCATGTGCTAGTAATACATTAATGGTTTTAGAATGTCTTTCTATAAGTCTATACTATAACTCAACTAGTGTTGTATGTAAAATAAATAAGGTTTTTAAAATGTTTAAGAAGCTTCATTTTAAATTAAAATGTAGAGCCCTCCAGACCAGTGGCCAGGACCCCAGCAGTGAGTGCCACTGAAAATCAGCTCCTTTACTGTGTTCGGCACACGTGCCATAGGTTGCCTACCCCTGTTCCACTATATATTGCTAATCATACTAAATGTGACAGTGATTTTGCTGGCAGCACTCCTGTTGAGCACAAGTGACTTTGCCATAGAAAGTAGTGGCAGGTTAACTGGCACTTAAAGGAATATAGTCTTTAGAACATATGCATGAAGTGGGGGGGGGGGGTGCGGGGGGAGAGAATTGGCCACTTAAGTCAAATCCTTGTCAGTTGATAGGACCACCATTGCTCCCTCCCCCCCTGCTGGGGGGGGGTGTGTGTGTCCTATTGAGTCCTTCATAAGCACAGCTGTGGCAAAGTGAGTTAGAATAATTAACTATTCACAAGCGGACTCTCAAAATACAAGATTCTTTAGTACAAGTAACATGCAAATTTAGTACAAAAAAGACTAGAGAGCTTTGTTTTTGTTTAGTTTACTATACTTTAGTCATATTCTGTCACAGCAACAGAGCAGTCTTCAAAGAAACATGTAATTCCTCACAAATATTAGCAGCAAACTCACATAAGAAACCTCATTTTCAACAAATAGATTTGAGTTGGTGTCCCTCAACTGGCTGCAATACTTTCTGTGCTTAATGTGGCTATTGCATAGTATTTTTCAGTGGTAATTCTCAGCTTTACAGTGCATCATTATTCGTAATTTAGATGGCAAAACTGAGGGCACAGGTGAAGTGACGACCTTGGATAAGTCTGACTGCAACTTCTTCCAGCTTTAACCAATAATCCACATTCATTAAAATGGCTTTAGAGGCTATAGAATCATGCTGATTCTATACATCTATTACAGTACATTTTCCTTAGAGAGATCCAGCTAACTGTTTTATAAAGGTGAGTAATATCCTATGATTCAGCTGAACAAGCATACAGAAGCAACTGAATATGAATGTAGGCTGCTTAGGAATCAAAGAATTAGCTACAGTATTTAATGTCAAAATAAGCAAGGTTTGTGGATCTAAGTCTTCACAACTAATGAGTGGACAATTTATTGGCTGAAGGAATTACTTTACCATTCATTTCCACTGCCAGACCCCATGATTATAGTGAGACTGAACAATCTGGTGGTAAAATTGGATAGTCCCTAAACAGACCTATAGTCCTACTCAAGAACTTGTACTGAAGTCTGCACACCAATATGCTTGTTATGGGTTTTCTAGGACAATCTACCCCTATTCCAACAAAGGGATTGGCTCCTCTTCTCCCCTCCTGTCCCTATCATGCTCTCTCTTTCACTTAACTGTTGAGGGACATGCTTACCCATACATGCTTTTCCCATCTGTTTCCATCAGCTAGCTGTTCAACACAGAACTGAGTTCCAGGCTATGAACTTCCTGCCACCCTTTTGCTGCTTCCTAATCTGAAAAAGCGAGTGGGAGCCAGTAACAGAGTAGGTAGTTATCAGGGAGAGGGCCAGTTGCAAGGACCAAGATGCAGGCCTTGTTTACATGGACACTCCAGAAAATTCATCCAGATTAATATAGTTTAACTAACCACAGCTGTGGAGTAAATCCCTGTGGAGAGCTACTGATTCAGAATTAAAGTGACCTTAATGTGGTTCTCATTAAGGCCGCTTTAATTCTGAATCAGTGGCTTTCCACAGGGGTTTAATAGTTTAATTAATCTACCTTTAATTCACACTTTCAGTTGGTTCAGATTTATTTTCCAGCCTGTCCCTGGGTAGATATGCCCTCAGTGTAGAACCACTAACGGTCTCACCAGAATTACAGAAGTTGCAAATTCCAAGGTTACATTCTGGGGGCACTGGCTACTGCTCTGAGGATTGTCAATAAGCTCATGGACTAATTGCCACTGTTCTTTAGTTTTTAAATACTTAAGTTATGCAATTGTCATTGCCTTACTAGAACTAGGCAACCATTTTCTGACATTTACTGAAAAATGCAGTTTCAAGTTAAAATATAGTTTTGGCCAAAACAATTTTCAGGCTAGAGTCAGAGGGTGACTTAACTCCTATTCTTAAAACCTGTGGAGGATGAAGTGGTGGTATAATACCCCCCCAAATATCCTATAACCTTGTGGCTAGAGCCCGTGCTCGGGATATGGGTGACCCTGCTTTAAGTCCCAAAACTGCCTCATGCAAGGATTTGAGCTTGGGCCTCCAACATTGTTGGTAAGTGCCCTAATTGCTGGGCTAAAGGGTGCACATGCGGGAGTCTCTCCCCATCACTCATGTTGAAGCTGTTCTAATTTTGTATAAATAACGAGTCATTGGAGCAGAAAAACACTCAAGTTCAAATTGCTGCTTCAACGCATGGGATGGGGGAGGGAAGCAGTGGCACTCTGCTTTGTGAAGGGCATTGCTAAAATTCCCTTTGCTTTTAGGGAGTTTTTTGTTTCAGGTCAAAAAACTTTTCTTGTTCAGTCAGCAAACAATTGATTGGCACAGTTCTGCTACAAAACATGGTGCTTGATTTCTGCAAGCCTGTATGCTGAATTTGTTCATTCTAAAGTTTAGCATGCCTGAAAACCAGACTACTAGGAGTGAAGGTCTTTCTGCCCTAGTATAGAATAACAATTGTAATAATGCTTAGTCTTTTAGAGTAGCTTTCATTTTCAGAGTACTTTGAATATTTATGGGGCTGTACATGTAGACAGCATTACTTTAAAGTTAGTTAGTACATAGCAGGGATATTTGCTGTGTGTCAGAGTACAGTTTTGTACTTGCAGGGTGTACTATAATGTTGTGTAGACTGCCTAAATTAGCTGAATATAGGACATCACAACACCTAGGATCTTTGTTTCAAGTTTCATGACTAATTGTTAACATGTTTAGATTTTAAGTGTGGTCTAAACCAATACCAACATTCAAGGGACAAATTTAAAAAAAAAGTACAAAAATCAAAGTTCTTTAGACAACGTTGGTTAATACTCCAAAACAAATTTCCATTAAAGAAGTGGTAGACTACATACTACTATGGGCTTTATTCATCCCACATGTTGTGCAAGCTTGGAGAAAGTGGTTTTGCAATAGATATTCCACAGTAGGAATATCTGAACTGGCTCCTAGATGTTACTTTATCAAATTGCCTAGGGAGGTTGTGCAATCTCCATCTCTGGAGATATTTAAGAGTAGGTTAGATAAATGTCTATCAGGGATGGTCTAGACAGTATTTGGTCCTGCCATGCGGGCAGGGGACTGGACTCGATGACCTCTCAAGGTCCCTTCCAGTCCTATAATCTATGAATCTATGTTTGACTCTTTCTTCCCCTACAGAAAAGCATAGAATGGCATAAAAGCTATGGTGCTTTTCAAACAGGTGGCATTTTGCACAGGAAACAGTAGGAGATTACAGCATATCACCTCTCAGCAGATGCCCATTGTGAGCAGGTCTGAGAGTGCCGTGCACAGTCTTCAGTGAGAATCTAACAGACATGTCTTAAAACTTCACTTTAAGAGTGTCCACATTCAGGGAACATGTTTTAAAAAGCAGAATGAACCAGTGCACAGAAAACTGCTGCTCTAACACTCATGTATTATCACCTACCAGTTTATCTACTTTTCTAGAAACAGGTAGATTTTCCATCTGTTAGAAGTTCTGTTAGGTTTGACCAAATGGAAAGCACATTGCAGTAAGCCATCTCTGCACAAAGATATGGATAACCGTTGTATAGTCCTTACCAAGGGAAAAAGCACACTTGCTCCTATTAGGATTTGGAGAGCCAGATGCACCTGAGGTTCCATTAGGACCTTAGGCTTGAATGGTTAGATAGGTCCACCACTTGAGGGGATTGAGATTTTAAGCCAGTTAAATCCACATCAAGCTCTGGTTGAGGGCTAAGTACATGGTTCAGTTAAGAGTTAAAAAAAAAAAACACAACCTACCACACACTGTGGCAGTATAGGGATGGTACCACTACAAGCCACCTCACCTCTCTTCTAGTGACTTCACATGCTGTGTATGAAGCATGATCAACTAGGACCCTGCAGTATCCCACCTAAGGCTGCCCTTGGAGCAAATGCACATTTGACCAAACACTTCCCTGTGTCCTCCCAGGCAGTGAGAGCAACCACTCCAGTAGGATTCTGTTTAATCCTGCATCAAAAGACAAATCCCATATCTAGAGGTAAAAAAGCAGGTGGTCACCTGCTTTTAGTCAATCATTACAGAGCCACCACCTCTAAAGCTTAGCTTATTTATGTTTAAAGCTATGCTGGAAGGCAAAGAAGTCAAAGTTCCCTGATAACGCCACAGCTGCTTCACCAAAACCACCTCAGTCACTTTCCCTAAAAGGAAGGAAAGCGAAAGAAAGGCAGCCCAATAATTGGACCATAATTCTCATGGTGTCAAGAGAAGGTGAGTAACAAGAGTTGAACAACTGCATAAAGGCCTAAGATTCCCATAATTACATTTGTCACTTTAAAAGAATGAGCCAGATACAGGGGTGATGCTTTGTGAAGAACTTGCCTTTTTCTGTTGCCATACTGGGAGGCAAGTAGCATCTGCCTCAAACGCACTCTCAAGTATCATGTTAGAATGCCAGATTGTCTGGATCATTACATCCCATTGGCTTTAGTTTATGGAAGGTAGCTGGCAAACACATTAACTCACACAGCTGGAGAGATATGCAGCCGAAGAAGTGGGCTGTAGTCCACGAAAGCTTATGCTCTAATAAATCTGTTAGTCTCTAAGGTGCCACAAGTACTCCTGTTCTTTTTTACAGCTGGAGAGAGTGATAAGTCGTTAGCGCTCTGGTTTCGTGTTTAATGGATTGGAGTTGAGAATGATGTGCTCTGAAAAAGTGACATGCAAACAAATGCAGATGTTTGTGCAATTCTCTTTAAAGGAAGGGAAACATTAAGGTGACCTTTTAAAGGGGGACCTCCTCTCTCAAATTTGATTTCAAACATGTTTGTCCCCAATGAAAACTGGCCTCATCTCAGTTTCCTCAAACTAGACCAAACAGCTGTTCCACTCCATACTGCACTTCAAGAGCACACACTGCACTATGTTCTTCCTCGGATTCCATTAGGCTAGTTGCATCTGACACCGCACATAACTAAGAGGCCCAGACATGGACAAAAGCAGAGGCAGGAGATCCTGGATTGTTTGTTTTGATGTATCAGTCAGAGGGCATTCCCAAGTTAAGTGCAAGTGAGCAACGTATACAGTGAATAATTACTGTAACTGATACTTCACAATGACAATGTGGATGCTGAGCTAGTTATCTAACAAATGCAATTGAAAAAAGGAGTTGCAGGGGGAAATCCTGTTTCCCTATTTGAATCTGCACTGCAGCTTAATTCTATGCTGGGGTAGAATCATTCAGTACCTTTCATACGCTGCCAGCTCTTTTCTCAAGTGGCAGCATCTCTCTTTACCCAACCCTCTGCTCCCTGGATAGCAAGTCAATCTAAGCACTTAGCATGGCAATGAGCGAGATATATCTGAGTGGTTTCTTGCATAACAGCTCTCATGGTACTGCCTGCTATAATTATTTACAGTTGTCCATCTCATCCTTTGAGAGCAGCCCTGCAAGCTTTGCCTCCTCTAGTGACTCTGGTAAATGCACAAACACGTGGATTCTTTAGACAGGATTATACATTCTCATCCCCACACCATTCGTTAGCCAGCCATAACCACTTTATAAGAGATCTTTCCGTTTTGGTGTACTTGGGTTACTTGGAAAACTGCAGCTAGAGAAAGTTTGTTTATAGGCAGAGTTAGGTTTGTTGGGTGGGACTGAGGATTAAGGGGCCCATGCCAAAAAAAAATAATAATAATAATAATAATTCAGATCTTCAAATTCCCCACCCAGCTGTTACCTAACTCCCTACAAACCTAAGTGTCCATTGGACAACTCCACAGAATTTCTGCCAGTGGCCATGAGCACAGTCCTCAGTCCTGACACCACCAAGCCCCAACTGGATTCACATACTGAGTCTTTGCTCCAATCCTATAGACATGCTCAGAGGTCACCTTACAGCACATCCAGAGGAGATAGTGCCCCCTTATATCCAAATAAGGGAGTGATTAGAGCACTCACCCAGGAGGGGGAAGAATCAGGTTTAAATCCCCACTCTGCCTCATGTGGAGCACAGACTTGAACTCAGCTCTCCTACCACCCAAGTGACTGCCCTAATCACTGGGCTACAGAGTCACTCACACTCTGCCCCAGTTAATATTTAAAGTTCTTCATACATAATGGCACTTCAACAGGAGTGACTGAGACACCCACATCAGAGCATCTCATAAGTCAGTGGTTAGGACACATCTGCGAGTCCTAGGTTCAAATCCCTATTGCACCTTAAGCACAGTGGGGGTTTGAATCAGGATCTCCCATATTGTGGAGGAGTGCTTTAGCTACTCTAGGCTATGGTGTGTGAAGTGGGGGGCACCACCTTTTTTAGTGGAAGGACTGACCTGGCTTAGAGAGTTCATAGCTGTGAAACACAAGCAGAGGGAAATGCCTCCCTGTGAGAGGTGGGGCTAAGGCCATATCCCTCCCTGTACTTTGTGCTGTTGAGCTTAGGTGGCTCCCTGCTCAGCAATGCTGGCTTTGTGATTCTTCCCTCATCCTCTGCCCTGCCAATTTAACTTCTCCTCCATTGTATGGGGAGCCTGGTGCCTAACCTGGGGCTATGGATTCCACTTGGCAGCAGGTTGCCTAGAAATTAGGTGCTGTAACAATTTGGCTAACTCCTGTTTGCAAATCCCACCCGTTGGGCTTCCCTGGCAGTTGGCTAGTAGCACATGTGTACTCTGAGAAACTCAGTTCCTCCTTCTGGGCCACCATGGGCTCAGAATGCTGCAGAGGAAGAAGGATCTGTTCTCTGGAAAGGAAGTGCCACTATCTTCTCTCTCAAACTCAAGGATTGGTGTAGATTCCTTCAAGGGAGAAGGAAAGTAACCCAGGTCCTCTTTGGGGAGGAGTGGAGAGGGATGAAAGGATCCAAGAGACCAGAAGACTCTCCCAAGGAAATAAGCCACTAGTAGTTTTGTATATATAGAACATTCTCCCCACTCAAAAGGATGGTTAGAAGAGGGAGGAGAAGGGAAAAAGGGGGGGGGGACCTGGCCACACCCACATGGGCAATGTAGAGATAAGATCTCAGATAGAAGAATGCTAACTGATCATGTTTTAAATATAGAGATTGATAGTGCCTCCTCCACCGGCCACACACACTTCAGTTTAGCGTGACCTTGGTGTCATGCCCTTTAAAATGCCCCTGAAATCAATGAAGGTGAGTACCTGTGTTCGGACTTTGCTTTCTGCCTTTGTTTCAGTTCTTCTGCAATTTCATCATCTTTTAATCAGGCTCATAGGAGAAGCCACTTGACTTTCAGGCTAAACAACAAAAAATTACTTATTCACATGTGACAGTAACTGTAGCTGGACCAGTGCTAGTGCAATTTCATGCATATAATTTTTCATCCAGAAAGTTGCAGATATGCAGCAAAACTTTGGGTCAAAATCCATAGAAGGCTCATGGAATTATAGAGGTGTCACTGGGAGGAGAACTTGGCCTTTTTGAACCTCTATATTATTGAGAACGAGAGATGAAAGAGGAAAGACCCAGATTCTAGGCTGTGTTTGCAGGCCTGGATGTTATAAAGGAAAAATCACTGCCCCCACCCCACCAAGAGGAGCAAGTTTGATATGGTGTCAGTGAGATAGAAGTGTGTAGTACCACACAACCATTTCACAGTCTGTTCTAGGAGCAGGAAGAAACCAGTATTTAAGGAGGGATCTCTTTTCTGCTGATCATCACTGTGTTTAAGCTCCTTTACTGACATACTCATCACTATCGAGCCACGCTTTTAGCACAATCATTCATAAACTACAAATAAGTCCCTGCTGTAGTATACATTAATCGTCAGAGAAATGGAATCTTTTCCCCGCAACAAAGTCAGTCAATATAAATAATGAAAAGCGTTCCCACCTCTGCGCTGTTTGCCTCATCTTCCCTTCCTGTGGCACAGCTTGGTTTTATTGCCGACACTTGCCTAGCAGGTGCAGCTGGAGTAGTGTGGCTGTTTGGATTAGGCCTGCTCTGCCAGGACATTTTATCCTTGATGTTCCACAGATCTTTTTGACCAAATGTACCTAATAGAATAAAAACCAACAAAAGACGAAGACATGGTAAAAATCTGGGTCTTGTTTTAAGTTGCATCAGTGGCAAATTACATGTCTGACTCATGACTCCTTTACAGGCCAAAGGGGAGGGAGATTTCATAACTTTCTGCTTTTCTAACCACTGAACTCTTAGTGCAGGGGTTCTCAAACTGGGGGTCATGAGGTTATGTGGGGGGTCATGAGCTATCAGCTTCCACCCCAAACCACACTTTGCCTTCTGCATTTATAATAGCGTTAAATATTTTTTTAAAAGTGTTTTTAATTCATAAGGGGGGGGTCACACTCGGAGACTTGCTGTGTGAAAGGGGTCACTAGGACAAAAGTTTGAGAATCACTGTCTTAGTGGTCAAAGGCTGAGCCATTTAATGAACAAGGGACTGGACACTGACTCATATCCTCAAGCAAGATTCTTGTTGCTTTAACACAAACATAATCCTGTGAATGACTATGGGTCACAGAGACTTTATCTGGGATCAGATAGACAGTGGTTAGATCCTCATTAGCAGCCAGTTCACAATATGGTGGGTTGCTTCCACCCTGTTCTTCACTTACCTACATATTCCCCTTCTAAGCGCCACAGCTTCACCGTGCAGTCCACAGATGAGGTGAGAAGCAGCTGGTGTTCACTCACTGGGGCAACCCTGCTCCATTGAAAAGGTGGGGGGGGGGGAGAAGAGAGAGAGAGAGAGAGAAATTGATTTACATTGTAATACTAAGGGCTTGTCCACATGGTGCAACAATACACACACACACACGCACACCCCCTTCCCCCCCACTTCGAAGTGTGGGGGAGATATCTGAAGTGCATCCATGTGTTGCTCAGTTACTGGTCCATGTAGATCCTGCTGGTGCAGGCTCAAAGTTCCCTAGTGCATTTTAACATACTACTATTTGCAACAGCATGACGTTAAAGCACACTAGGGAGCTTTTATTTATTTATTTATTTTTGTGTCAGTCACACGTTTATTTAATGCAACCAACTACTGTTTGACAAGTTAGCGCTTTCCACCAACACGAGGAGCAGAAACTTTCACTGGTTTCATAATCTTTTGTTTAGGTGCAGCCTTTGTGGGAGCCTTTGTTGTAGAGGGTGTACACCAACAGGGTCTACAAGGACCAGTTAGCAGGCAACATGTTAGTGCACTTTAGAAATTACACTCCTGAAGTGTGCATTGCTGCACCAGGTAGTCTAGCCCCAAAAGGAAAAAGTCCCCAGGAAGTTGGGAACCATTCTAACTGGATTAACTAGAAACAGACACTAATAGAATAATGTTTCAAGGGAGGCCATGTCTATCACATCTCAAAGCTGACATGATGGGAAGAATATATTGAAATAAAGGTAATGGGAACGAACTAATACAAGCAACCCTGGAATCTTATATGCCTGTTAAGATGTCTTTACCTACTCCCATTTTCCTGTCCTCTCAAATGTACTTTACAAACTTCTTTATGGCATCCTTAAGTGTATGCATTAGGAGCTATTATTATGGTAGTTCTCCACATTTTATTGGACCAATACAGAGTGTGAAAGAGACTTAAGCTACATCTATGCTACAGATGTGACTGGCAGCTTGCCCCAGACATACACGGTCACATTATGAGCTATACTCTAGCCAGCTTGCTAAGAATGGCAGCAAATGCAGCGGTGCAGGGTTCAGAGTAGACTGCACAAGTATGTACTCCAGGGGATGGGTGGGCTTGTGCAGTGTGCACCACTGCATCTTCGCTACTATTTTTAGCAAGTTAACTATACTACAGCTAGCACAGATATGTCTACACTAGCTGCAAATCACACCCCCCACTGCAGTGTAGATGAAGCCACTTAAGCATCATCAGTTACCACTCTTACGTGCGCTTTTAACCCTCTTCCTGAGGGAGCATTCCTTTGTTCCACATGCAGACCTTAAAAAGAGCTACAACTAAATTTGACTCCCAGATGGTCAATGAATTCAAAATAACAGGTTCTCCCATCTGTTTAGGAAATTATGAGCAGCAGCAAACTAGCAGGCTAAACAAAACAGGCACTATAACAAATGTAAAAGATAATACACTGAAATTGGCAAACTTGCAAATTTTGGTCTCTTAAATTAGCCATTCTGACCTGCTCTACTAGGACTGCAGGAGCCAACTAAAAGTAGAAAACAATTCCAGGTTAAATTAGGACAGAATAAAAATAGTAAAAGCCTCAACTGTATCTTTAAATGAGTCACCCCACCCCATGGGTCCCCTCCTAGCCAAGGTGCCTCTGCACTGCTCTACTCTTTATCCTCCCTCTTCCAGGCCCTTTTAACTAAACACCATACACTTGCTCATTCAATAACCACCCATATTGGGTCTGGATTTATTCAGATAAATGAACCCAAAAGGCAAAACTTTAAGTCCCATAAGTCTGTCCCAGGGCATGGCTCTTACCTCAAAGCCTGGGTGAGTAGAGTTTTTCTTCATAAGATCCTTTTAATAGATCTTAGGAGAACTCAAACTGACACTCAGCTTACAAATGCCCTGCTTAAAGCTGACTCCCTCAGAGACTTCCGAGAGTCAGCTCTCTTATTAGGAACCAGCTGCTTGATGTTCCCTCCCCACACCAGGTGTTTCTGGTTGGCTCATTTAGCGAGCCTGCTCCAGGCAACTCCCCCACTCCCTCTGTTCTCTCACAGTATCCGAATTTAGAGCCTTCCATACAGCAGATGGAGTGACCCTCATGGCCGGCAGTTCCTAAGAGAATGACTCTCAGCCAAAAGAAAGTCTTGTAATAGTGCATGGGAAAGATAGACAGTGGATGAAAAGAGAAGAGAAAGAAAAGAACAGAAAAAAAAATGATACAGAAAAGAGGTGGCTATCATTTGCACTTGGCTGTACTAGCAGAGTTCCCAATATCAGCATACTTATAAAGGGTTTTTCATCTCAGAGCTGTCTGCAAACTAACACAAATCACTTCACCACTGAAATACAGCCACCTCTGGGGAAGAACATGATTACTATATAACTATGCCCAGCAGCTATCCCCATTGTAAGATACCGCATCCATCTAACACTGCATGAGGAATGTAGCTAGGCAGAATGAAATTGCTTAATTAGAAATTAGCCAGAACATGGGCTGACCTCTCTAACCTCATGAAGAGTACATAAGATGTTTAAAAACCTCAAATAGTCAGCAGCTTGGTTTTATGTTCCCTATGAAAAACTATAATTTAAGGATACATTTATAGGTGGAAGAACAAGTGGCATCTCTTTAAGAAGTAAAGAACAACTGTGAAGTTTATTTTACCTTGTAACACTGCAGCTATGAGCTCTCCAACTTAGAAGCACTTGACAAAGGGATGGGGAAAAAAACAAGATACAAATCTGTTATGCAGCTATCAGCAACATGTGACAGAGTAAAGGGGCATTGTGATTGAAGGGGGAGGAGAAAGTGTTGCTCACAAGCTGGTGGTTCCTCCTCTGGTCCCCGAAGAGCATATTTTGTGATGCTCCAATATAGATGTAACCCATGTGGTCAGCTGCACACAGGAGGCAGTCATCATCACTGACAGCCATGTCACGGATTGTAGACCTGTCCTTGGACTGTAAATGAAAGAGGAAAGATGCAGCAGTGAATACTATTACCACAGGTTCCCAGCAGCACAAACCAATTTTTGGTAGCGGTACGATAAGCTCTTCATTCATAATTTAGCTACACAAATAAGATACTGGGAAGCTGCATAAGACGAGGGCAGCAAATGCTCTACAAGATATACAATGAAAACAGGTGGCAGGCTAACCACCAATGAGACACAGAAAGGAGGGGCTTGAGTCAGACAGATTATTTACAGACAATAAGAGGAGCTTGCATATTTGTTTCTGTATCTAAGAGTAGGTCTGCACTGCAAATGAAGATGTGCTTGTAGCATGGGTAGCGCATGAACATTGGCTGGGGCAGGCTGAAGCAGGGCCGTGCCTGGCTGTTTGGGGAAGCACAGCCTCCCCTACCCACCCATGCGAGTAGGCATATTTAATCAAGCTATCACAAGTAACAATAATAGCTTAGATGTCATGGCAGGGGCTTCAGCTGTAGTTGCTAGCCCACATACAAGCCTGGCAGGTAACCTGGGTACATACTCAAGTTGCTAGCCATGCTGAAGTCCCAGCCACCACATCTAAACACTGGAACAAATTGCCTAGGGAGGTTGTGGAATCTCTGTCTCTGGAGATATTTAAGAGTAGGTTAGATAAATGTCTATCAGGGATGGTCTAGACAGTATTTGGTCCTGCCATGCGGGCAGGGGACTGGACTCGATGACCTCTCGAGGTCCCTTCCAGTCCTATAATCTATGAATCTATGAATCTTCACTACTACTTTTAATCCATGCTAGCTAGATTAAAACTAGCACAGGTATGCTTATCTGTGCTACATTTACACCTTCACTTGCAATGTAGACATACATGGGGTCCTGGGAGCTTTTTACAAATGATGTACTAAGATACAGAATTAAGGGTAAGACCCAGTGTGTTTGTTGGAGAGTGTTACTAATGCTTAGTACTTGTAGAGCATTTTAGTCTTCAAAATGTTTTACACACCACTAACCCTCATATTACCCTGTCAGGTAATATTATCCTCATTTCACAGCACTTACAGCTAAGCAGGGGTGAAAGTAGAAATAGGGACTTACCAGTACGAGGCTGGGTTGGGGCCGGTTCTGGCCCCCAGAAGGGGCGTGGCCTCGGGCAGAAGGGGCGGGGATGGGGGGGTCAGAGCCAGCCCCGGCCCGCCCTGTACCACTAAATGCCCTCCCCCTCCTCCGTCAGGGTAGCAGTGGTAGCCGAGGCCTCCGGCAGCAGTTTAAAGGGCCCAGGGCTCAGCTGCTGCTACCGCCCCGGGCCCTTTAAACCGCTGCCGCAGCCCTCAGCTGCCGCTGCTACCCCAGGGCTCCGGTGGCTATTTAAAGGGCCGGGGCCATAGAGGCAGCGGGAGCCCCAGGCCCTTTAAATAGCCCTCGGAGCCCCGCTGCTATTCCAGGGCTCTGGGGGCTATTTAAAGGGCCCAGGAGTCCCCAGCTTCTACCGCCCCGGCCCTTTAAATAGCCCCCAGAGCCCAGGGGTAGCGGCGGCGGGGCTCCAGCGGCTATTTAAAGGGCCCAGTGCAGTAGAGGCAGCGGGAGCCCCGGCCCTTTAAGTGACCCCCGCCGCTACTCCAGGGCTCCAGCAGCAGGGCTCTGCGGCAATTTAAAGGGCCTGGGGCTCCAGCTGCTGCTGGGAGCCCCAGGCCCTTTAAATTGCTGCCTGGGGAAGCCAAGCCACCCCGGTACGGCACACCACACCAGCTTACTTTCACCTCTGCAGCTGAGGAAGAGACTTGCCCAAGGCCAAGAGGAAGTTTGTGTCATAATTATTGTAATTTAGCAGTTCTTGGTGCTCAGACCAAACTACAATTCCTGAATGCCTTAGTCTAGCATGCACGGGTCCTATGTAAAACCTATGCTAGAGTCTACCCAGGCTGTTTCTGTTCTGGGTATTTCAAACTCCTGATCAAGAGCACAGTGGGACTACCATTGCAATTAGCACCAGGTGATTTAATTATAGGTTTACTGCATACCAGGCCTTGTACAGCTCCATGGGCTGTGACATCTGTATTTAAGAGTAAGAGAAAACTCTCTAACAAACTAAATCCCTTGAATGCTTTAGATCGGGGTAGTCAATAGGCAGCGTGTGGGCCAAATCCGGACTGCCAGACACTTTTGAACAGACCCCAAAATCTTTTTTTTTTTACTTCTCATCATTCGTTTTTTTTTTTTTTATTTTCTCCAGTCTGGACCTTGATTATACCTTGAACAACAAATGGGGACCTTGACAAAAAATAATTGACTACCCCCTGCTTTAGATGCTTCTAGAAAGCCCTTTTCTCCTCCAGGCATGTAATCCTGTGCTGTAAAACTGTTTAGCTGTACTACTTTTTCAAAGTAACAGTATATAATATACAATATGACTTAACACTATCGGGGTTTTAAGTATGTCAGCTATGTAAGCTGCTTGTTTGCTTTAAATTTAAAAATAGAGTAGGACTTTCCTCTAGTTCTTGGGGGTTTTAAAAAGACAAAAAAGTATGAATATGACTTAGAAAGAATCCCTCCTGCAGTTTGATAAATGGGTAGAATGCAGGTGAGAGAAGCATAAATCAATTAAATACTTTGCAATTCTATAATGTATTTTCATTGAAGGATCTCATTGGCTTACAAACATTAATCTAATTTGCCTCATGACATGTACTGGGTAGAAGGGTAGGGGGACTTAAAGAGATCAAAATCACCCACCAATGAAATATTCCAGCACTACAGTAAAATAACTGTTTAATAGCAAAAAAGCAGGATGAAAGGAAGTAGCCAATTGAAACTGCCAAGGAAATCAAACTCACAAATGCAGATTAAATACAATTCATTACAAGATTTGTCCTTTGTGACAGAGCTTCTGAAATAAAGGAGCTTGAATGATGGTTACCATGACTAACCATGATAATCTAAGTAAATATTTTCTCAGTTAAACTCCATCTTAAACTCTTGTAGTCTACAAATACCAATTTGATCTATCCTTTAAAAATATGGATTAAAAATTATTGATCCTTCTTTTGTCCAACAAACATTTCTTTCATCAATCAGAAACAATTATATCAGAGGTGGGCAAACTACAGCCCGCGGGACCCTCCTGCCCGGTCCCTGAGCTCCTGGCCTGGGAGGCTCGCTCCCAGTCCCTCCCCTGCTATCCTCCCACCCCCGGTGCGCCGTGCCACCGGTGCAACACTCTGGGCGGCCAGGCAGCGCAGTTGCAGAGCCGCAGCCTGACCCGGTTCTCTGGGCAGCACAGCTGTAGTGCCGCTAGCCACCGGTGCTCCAGGCAGCGCGGTAAGGGGGCAGGGAGGGTTGGATAGGAGGGCAGGGGAGGTTTGGGGGTGGTGGTCGAGGGGGTGGGGGTGTGGATAGGGGGCGGGGTGGTCAGAGGGTGGGGAACAGAGGGGCTTCGGATAGGAGGCGGGGACCAGGACATGCCTGGCTGTTTGGGGAGAGACAGCCTCCCCTAACTGGCCCTCCAAACAATTTTGGAAACCCAAAGTGGCACTCAGGCCAAAAAGTTTGCCCACCCCTGAATTATATCATCAAAAGCACCCATTACCTATTACTGTATTTTCACAGGAATTAATCATCACTTACTCCAATGAAATAAGCAAATAGCTTCCCTCCTCCAAATATATTCCAAAATGTAATGTAACCTGGAAAATCAGAGAGGACAAAAAAACATGTCATTCTCTTACATAGGAAACCAGTTGCTTAGTTTGAAAAAGAAAAGCACCTTGTGCAATTAAACAAAAAACAATAGATGACAAAACATTATAAAAATACCAGTTTCTCTCACAAATTCATATCCCTAGGGCAAGGAGGGATTTCACCCCTGTCCTCAATGGATAAACTGTGAAAACAAACAAGCCACTTACCTAAAACAAAAAAACTACTGATTCCTTACTGCACAGAGCCCCATGTTAGAGATGGAAAGGGGTACCCTAGACACCCA